TATGTTTCTCGTAAGTACTATGCTAAGTATAAGTGTATGTACGTTGCATTAATATGTGTCATTATTGCGCATCGCGTAATCGCGATTCTCCGCATACATGTCTTAAAGCGACGCGTGATCACAGAATTACGCGAGCTCTTCAAGCCGTTGGGCTTCTCATTGCACTTCCCCGGGCTCTCATTAAAATAGAAGGTAGATGTTCAAGAAAGTTACGAGTTTATGGATTATCTTCGTATCTTGATACTTCGTTAAATGCCAACGTTTCGTGAACATTGCAATTCTCTTCATCAGGGCAAGAAACAACCTGTGTGGGTGATACTCGCTCTGATAAAAGTGAACTACGATGTTCACAAAACATTGGTATTTAATAATAATGATAATCAACACGGAGATGACCCGTAAATCGCCTAACTTTTTTGAAGAAAAATAATTAATACTCAACAAAGTATCTATTAAAACCGTAATGTGAATACATACTGAATTTTTAGTGTTTTTACAATACTAAAGATCCAGGTGGACTGTTTAGAGTCTTTTATTTTCTATTTGTGGAATAATTTAAAGAAAATTCCTAAAAAAATATTAACAAAAGTACACGTGATTTTTTTCTCCATTCCGCAATCCAGCGTAGAATTTAAATAGAGCGTTTACGTTGAGATAAGTATCTATATAAGCGCAATAACCTGCTTCATTTCTAAGAGAATGAGATCCATTTGAAAAAGAATGAAGCTCATGACTGTAATTGAGTTTCGCTCATGCTAGGAATCAAAGATGAGAAATAACGGTGTCTCAGTGCATGGCAAAAAAGAAACGATAATGTGAAGGAATATTTCGTGATTATGACGAAGGAGAATGAGAGACCGAAGAGAACACGCACCTTAATTATAATATTACTATAATATAACAGCAAGCGTCCAGAAAACTGAAAAGGTTGAAACAGTTTAAAGTCGCATGTGGACGCAGTGATTGCTCCGAATTATTTGATTGATTAACGGAATGCAACGTTATCACATGTATTGTTAAATTGTATTGTAATCAGCTTGAAAAGCTGCATTGTTCTCTCCTTCACGGTAAATTCGAAGGAGGGAAGGGAAGGGGGAAGGATAACATTGAGTCGATTCATTCATCAACTCTCTTCTACGAAACTACGCGTTTACACCTAACAAGCTCTCTATAATGCCACGAATATACGTTTAATTAATAGCTGTTTGATAGCGGGTGTTAAAGGGAGTTACCCTTTGCATTACGTATCAGTAATACGTATTAAATAGTATTAATGGTTACCGTTTAAAAGTGACGGCCGTTGGGATGACTAGGATGAGGACTAGAGTGCATCTACTCGGGATTGGACATCGGAATCGGCTTAGAAATCACCGGTGCCGACAGGACGACAATTTTGGAAGGATTCGGCCAGCATGACCATCGTTATTGGAAAAATACGAAATTAGAAAAATAATCTCTATCACCCACGCCACCAGACGCGCTCGCTTAGTGCCAGATACACCGCTAAGAATTTCGCGCAAACTTCTCCGTACGGACGAAAGATCGCTTTAAGCGAGTCCTTGCAGCGTTGTAACCAGGACGCAACGAGGTGACTTGTAAACGGCGAACGGTTTACATGTGTCGACGGGTTACTCTCTCTCTGTTCGGCACTATGCTTCGACTACATCTCGACTATACTTGAGAGAACTCGGTAATCTTTGCGATTATAATAAGGACGCACTGTAATCTCAAAGAAGTTACCTGATGCCTTGCATCGTGAAATCACGTCAAGCTATATTTCCCTCAGAAAAAAAAAGAGAGGAATAAATTAACGAGACCAATCGATCCGCGGAGGTCGGAAAACATTTGAGGTAGATTTCCCATCTACATCCGGTTTAAGAAATTGGGCGGGATGGGACAGCGAATAGTTATAGTTGTATATATTAATATTTCCCTCGGGACAAATTAAAACTTCTCTCTCGAAAACAAGAAAGACACGTAACATAGCACGACAAATAATAATTACATGAAATCTGTTAAAAGATTTAAACGTATACCTACAAGTCTTAACAAATTAGAAAACTATTAGACCAGAAAATTGCGCGTAAGAGAATGTTCTTATATTAAGTAACAATTAATTGCGATGTAGTTAACCCTTTAAAAACTTAACAAAAAGACTTTATCGAACTATATTCTAACTTTGGAATAAACTTGGAAACGCTCTGTATACTGTATACCGAAAACAATTTTCCACATGTCATCCCGTTTTTTTTTTTATTTAGCCATACCCTAAGCAAAAGTCGCAAACGCACAACCATAGCCAGTCGCTAGATTTCCCAGTTGCAACACCGTATCGTTATCATCGCTCAGATTCTTCCAATCACCCACTTCTTTTTCTCCCTCTCTCTCTCTCACTCTTAACAACGTTTGTCTTTAACTCATGAGTGGTCACGCCATGAGCATCATAAAGCACAGCAAATAAAAGATCATTATTTTTTATTTTCTCTCCACGATATAAAGTATCTCGTCTTGTCTCGCAAAACTCACACACTTTCCAGTATCTTCAGAAAACCTCGCAATAAGTTCATTTTAATTTCTTTTTTTTTTTACTCTTTCCTGTTTAACAAGACGCGACCACTCACGCGTTAAGCCTGCGTCCGTGTATTATTATTACTGTGTCTCGGTAATCGGCTGCGTGCGGTTATCGGTTTTGCCTAGTCGACATTCAAGGGAGGACCGGCGGATCCCGCTCGCTAGTTAGGGTATGTCAGCTGGTAGTAGTCTCCACCCACCGAGTCCTCATCGGGGATTTGCAATTGCTTCACCCGTTTTACTAGCGCGCTAGAACACAGAATACTGTCGCTGAATTGTGGCGTCTCCTGTAGCGGATGTGTGCGGGCATGTTCATTTTATTTACTTTGTACAAGCAAGGAAGTAAAAGACCCCGCGATATACATCTCGTAGTGTACGTAAAGTCTTATAGGGAAAAATAAAACACAGTCAGAGATACACAAGAATCCGGCTGATACATTGCCAAAAATTCGTAATATTTTCGTAAAGAGGAAAATTTCTTGCTCTCAGTAAATTAGCAGAACCTTCCTACGAAAATATTATTCGATATCAGCAGTGAATCAATGTACTCTTGTAAGCGACATTTCTTCCCTATAGGCTTGTATATATTATTCAATACGACTTGCGGAAGAAAATATTTATACTCGTTTCCATCAATGTAGATTAAAACTTTAATCTCGGTTCAACTTACTACTTCGTCATGTTTTTCTAGTTCTAAGAATTAGAACAAGATAAAGAGTGAGTTGAACTGAGATTAAAGTTAATTTACTTTTATAGAAACGGGTATTAGTCTCTCTATATATCTTTTTACGACCGCACACATTGAGTCCTGCTGATCGTAATCACCGTTAATGAGGAGCAGAACGAAAAACGGACTGACGAAACGAGTACATGATGCCACGTCTTGATGAAAGCTTCAAGGGTATGGCTTGAAATCAGACGAGATCGAGGACAGGGATGAGGATGGGAATTCGAGGGAGAGCAAGTCTAACATATACTTTACAAAATGTACACTTCTTTTCTCGTTCACCGAGAAAGCTATCGAGTATAAAGGAGCTAGCAACGTGAAAGAGAGTAGGCTGTTATGCGCATGTGGCCATGACGTGCTCGAAACTTACACGACTCGCGGTAGCGCGATCATTATTGCATGTGATACCACAAACTGAAATGTTGTATTTCATGCTCCCGATACGAAAAATATTGCTTCCTTTAATTAAGAGATAGATAAGACGCTTTATGTGCAATCTCCCCACGCGATGTGCTTAATAACTTCTGTGACTTCCTTGCGGTTAATATCGTTTTAGAATGTGGACTAAAATTGTAAAATTGCATATATATCGTATCTACAATAATATATGGTGAGTATGGGATATGAAAAGAATTCTAAAGGGATATTGTGTGACACTCTTCCTCTCCAAGACTTTTGTTAATTAATTCTCGTTATTTAACTGAATGAAAAGATAATCATATTATAAAAAAAACAGAAGTCTGGAATATATTATAATACAGCGCGCATAAGAAAATGAAAACGTCACGGGATTACCCAAAAGGTACTGTTGAGTTTTTCATGGTATTGAAAATTCAGATAGTACAAAAGACGCAATTTTCCCTGACATGAAATGTTGGCGTTAAGTATAAAAACCGTTTAAATGTTCCCACCTGCACACATCATTAATTTCTCATAACATATTCACCTTTACGGAATTTTTTGTACACAAAAGAAATGATATACAAAAGATTCGAAAGGTTATCCTGATTAAAGTTTAAGAATATGACTTACGATGGACACAGACAGCGGATATACATAAATTTAATGGTTGGATGACACATTCTTTGTCTCCTGCGTACAGTATGCATACTTTATCGACTAACTATATTATAACATCGACCAGGTACTTTTTCAATCTTCCTACACAGTCTCTAGTTAAAGCCTGCTACAGTTACTGCACTGTATTACAGTCTCTACTCATAACTCTGCTATAAACACGTCGAAATTAATTAAAATTACGTATTCAAACTTATAATCAATATCACGTAATTAAAAAAATTGAAATGATTGATGCAAATGTATGTATACAGATTTGTTCAACACACAAAAAACAGAACGATGTTGCAATTAGAATATCTACAAAGCGATACAAAACAATAAAAGCGATACATAAATAGAAATGAGATAGTTGTACTTGACTGGATTTTATCTATATATGAAAGAATAATAACATCGGGAAAGAATAACAACATCAGCGAGAAAGCAGTATTCCTTTGCCCCGATTAAAGGGGAGGAACATCTTTGTATGATTTACATATCATTTACAAGTACGTCACGCGTTGTAAATTTAACCGCGGGATAATGTTACGGTAATCATTCTGAAGAAGCATCATGCATCACGGAGTTTTATGTCTCGACAGCAACGCTAGTATGAAAGGTAGTGAAAAATGCGAATACACACCCGGATTCGGTGGCGGCCTGACTGTTAATGTTACCGCTGTTGATGGAATTGTTGTTGGCGGAATTGGAATTCACCTCCTCCATATGCGCAGTGTTCAGCAATGAACTCCATTGCCTCATCACTTCTTCGCCCTGAGCTTCCAGCTCGGAAATTATAGTTGCGTCATCCAGCTCGTGCAACGCAGGATTGGAATTTAATCTGAAAGAGAAAGAAAGACAAATAATGATAATTTAATTCTAACAAAATAGCAATATGTTTATTTCTCTATTCAAGCTAATCTAACGTATCTCGCTTATCAGAAATTATATCGCTTAATGCTAACCGCTGTTGTTCCTCGTAAGAGCTTGCGTCGCTGCCGTCGTAATCTAACATTAAATCGTCCGATGCAATGGATTCGCAGGGCGATAAAGTGTCTACGCTGCCTGCTCGATGCAAACGTTGCCCGTGATGAGGACTATTCATTACGCCTTTGATATGCACGCCATCTGTAACACAAATCACATGTATTGTCAATATATAAAATATATATTTCAATAAAAAATATATATTTTACTACAACATATACTTAATAAAAATACATTCATTTCTATTGAGATTATTATTAAGATTCAATAAAAACTTAACAATTTACATCTAAATATACTTGAAAAGAATAAGAACTCTAAGAATAGGAAATCCGTACTCACTCTTAGAGCTTGTCTCAACCAGAGTATGGCTATTTTCGGTGATTACTTGACCTCCCATAGCGGATTGCGTTTCGATTCTTGCTCTCGGGCTGTTATCATCAAAAATCAATCCGGGTTGATCCGCGATTTCATCGTCGAAGAACTCTCTACCCTCGGACAAGCTAAGCGAGTTAGAAGCGTTCGTCGGCGTGCCCGGACCGTCATCCTCGAGAGTGTTGTCCGAACGCTCGTGCGCGTGTTCTTCATCCCTCTTCGAGGGCTTTCCATCCGACTGCGTGATGCTGGCGGTAGGACTGTCAAACAGGCTGTCAACCGGTGAAGTCTCGTCGTCTATTAAAGTGGTTGTAGTAGCAGCGGCGGCGGCGAATGCGGGATCTTCGATGGTGAGCAACACCGAGCGTAGAGCGTTCTTCGATGTTGCGCCGCTTTTTGTGGCAGCGGTGATTGCTTGCGCGTGCTGAGCGATGATGGAGTTGGTACGCTGGTATTCATCGCTGGAGCTCAACGAATACTCGTCTGCCATGGCTTCACCGTGTCCATATTCGGGATCGTCCGAACTGGGAGGGCTAAAGTCCGATTTGATGGACGGGACCTTTTCTGTGCGCGATCGATCTTTGTAGACCTTTTCCTCACTCAGACATCCCTCGTCGTAGCCCTCCGAGGACGTGGTGGACATTGACGCGGTCGAGTCGGTGTATCTATTGTCCTTGTTAACGATTCGCTGATATTGCGTAGCCCGCTCTCGCACAAAGCCAGTATTTAGATTCACCGCAGCGGTTGCGAAAGATTTGGGCAACGGGATCACGGAGATCTCCGTGACAGTGCTGTCGTCGTCACGGACATCTCTCACGTCAAAGCTTTTGCCGGACACCACCATGCGCAAGTTTCTTGGTCTGCCGACGCCGCGTCTCCTCAGAGAAGCATCATCCATGTAATCCATCGATCTGATTCTATCATTGTCTTCCGGACCAGTCGGCTGGCTGCTGACACCCGAATCCTCAGTCACCGAACCTTCCTTCGAACTGGACGAGCCTTTCGACGTGGATATCTTTCTACTTTGATTTGCTGCAGTCTTGGCGATCTTAGAATTTGAGTCGTTTACCCGTACGGCATATTGAGGTAGCGGCAGATGACTGGTATGCAACGTGTACCTACTGATGGGTTCTGGAATGCCTGAGACTCGTTTATTCGCGTCTGTGTGTTGCATCATCGAATTGCCGCTGTAAGCCATGTTATTCGATTGCGGCGGACGAGATTTTGCTGGTACCGTCGTGCTGCACAAATGCTGTGGCACGTGCGCAACGACCCTGTTTGGTTGTTGCTGTTTGATAAAGTAGTTCTCTTGTTGTTGCTGCTGCTGTTGCTGCGAATATTGCTGCAGCTTCTCCTGATTGTAGTGACTGATGTTGTGGCTGTTGCAGATGTCGCCAACCTTGTTCGTGAATCTCGCTTGCGGCTGCCGATAACCGAAGCGATTTGTCCTGACGCCGATACCACTCGAGTCCTTCTTTGGCGGTGCCAACCGCGGTGTCGATCGGCCGGATGACGAATTGTGGATCATATTGCTGTTATCATCATCCATCATCCGTCTGCGATCCTGCTCCGGGCCGGCTGACTTTGATCGTGGATGCAGCAGGCTCTTCTCGTTGGTGGTACCGGCGACATAGTTCGTTATCGGCATAGGAATCCCGCTGGCGGGTCGTCGCCTGAAGCCGAAGGACATCGCGGTGCCGCGTGTGTGCGACGTGCCGCGCTTCGAAGAGCCCTGAAACGAAGGTTCTTCATTAGAAATTTGTCATACAGGATGTCTGTGTGAAAAAACTGAGGGACGCGCAGAACACAATAAGACGATGACAAATGTAAGAAAAATTGCAAAGATAGAATTAAAGTAAATTACATACACACGCATGCATCATTCTTATCAGAGATTCTTTTAGCTCTTCCGACACGAATCACTTGTTAGAAATGCAAGAAATAGTTTATTACGACGAAGTTCTCGACGGGTTCTCGATCGATCTGTTTCGATCGCTATCGCGTTTCTACAGCCGTCACGAACAAAGATTACTTCGTAATCAAGATGTAAGAGTTGGGATTATCAGCAGCGTATCGTTCCTAGTCACGCATTAACGATCATCCGCAGAAGAAGATCAATATCCCACGTAATTCAATTTCGACGATTAGATTGTGAAGTTTGCCTTTAGCCGATTATGTATTATAAATCTTGGCCTTTTTACTCTTAAGACTTATATTTTGCTTTCTATACGAATATCCAATCGGCATTAGGCTGCCAAGTGCGCATACATACCGTACGCTCGTGAGGTCTCGGGGTCTGTTCGACGAACCTTTTGCTTGGTTCCCGACTGCAACAATATTAATCGATATTCGTGTGCGGATTATATAACGGCGCGGTGCTGATGGCGCATCCCGCCGCGGACAAGGCTCTCCGGAACAATGTGCACGCGAACACCGCATTGTCCATGATCGAGACGATTGAGGAACGACAGAACACGCCTCTGTGCGACTCGCGGAAACCGTCTGAGAGTCACCGCGTACAGTGGCCCATTTGAACTCCAGAAATAGCGTAACCGCGGCTGGCAGACCGACAAATCTGGGGATCGTATTCGCGCTTTGGGCGCGTTCGTGAAGAGGCTCGAAACCCTAGCTGACTCGTCGCTTTCAACACAGATGTCTCGTGACAGCCGCAAATCGACCGCGAAATCGTCGTTCTGACGATTACGCATGTGGTACACATCGCACGTTGTACGGCAAATGCGTAAAATGTGTCGTGTACGCTTATAAAGCAATACAACCTAAATTCGAGCTAAATTGTTAGTCCGCAAACACAATTGAGTAGTAAATCTTAAGGCTAATTCTACAATGTGCTTTTTGTTTCCTGTTTCTTGCTGTTTGTCTCCGTTTGTCTCTTGCCTTTTTGATCAAGAAGGCAAGAGACAAACGGCAAGGAACAGGAAACAAAAAGCACATTGTAGAATTAGCCTAAAGGCCATGGTACATAAAAAAAAAACTGAAGGCGTAAGACTTAAGCAGTAAGCGAATCGACCAATCACAATAGAGACCGTAAGACCATACGTGAGCAATAGCGAATCCAACATGTTGGTTTCGTTACTGCTTAAGTCTTACGTCTTAATTTTTTTTATGTGCCATGGCCTTAAGTCTTAAGAAATGGATCAATCACAGTCGCATGTGAGAAGAATAATCGACTTGGTCAATTCCTCAAGGCTTACTACTCTATTGTGTTTGCGGGGTTAAAGATAATGAGTGCTGTTCAGCAAGAGACACAGTAAATTTATCCTTGTTGTTTGCCAACGTTAAACAAAGATGATATAATCACAATCTATTTTCTAATTTTACTAAAAACAGACGCGCATAATTTGCGATCGTTAGCGATGACAGGCAGTATGTCACACTTGCCGGAAAGTATCAAATGTATCCAGAATTTCTTCGATCATATCTATTAATTTTCAAACAATATCAAGGATCATTTTCAACCCCCAAAATATAAATTGAGTTCAACTATACTGACTTTAACTAAACGATATAAAAACTTGCGATTCAGGAAATCTCGATGAATGACACTCCGATGATGTTATCGAAAATAATCCCACCCGATTGACACGCGCACTGTCATGGCACCCTCGAGCAGGTTCTCCGTGAAGAGGAGGATCTGAAGAGAAGGACGTTCCGTTCGGAGCATCCCTTACCGCAACACCGATGCCCTTCTCGTTCTCCAGCGGGTCGTCTTCGCATCTCGTGCTGCCGTACCGGTACTCCATGACGAATGCTTCCGGGCCAATGTCACACGGCCGGTCGTCGATCGATTTCTCACGGGGATTGACGGTCGTCCACCGTCGTTTTAAGTCGCCATGCCGCGAATATATATTTTTGAACGATGCGAGGAAAGTGGTCCTGTCGGAAGAGGCGCGTGAGAGGGATGGTACAGAGCTCTCTTCGTGGTCCGTCACATCGTAAGGATGGCATACGACGGCGAGGGAACGAGCGACAGCGCATTGACGTCGCCCTCCGTCGTCGTCGTCGTCGTCGTCGTCGTCACCCCCGCGTTCCTCGCTCTTCCTTCGTCTTGCTTGTTACCCCGCGACTTCGGCCTTGTCGTGCTCGGGACGCGAAGGAAAGCGAACACGGGGATCGATCCGGCCATCTGCGCCGGCGTCGCGACGCCGACGTGCTCACGGCGACGCAGCCAGGGGCTTATTTTGCGGATGCGCCCACGTCCCAACTTCTACCCGGTATACAGGATGTTCCTCGAGAATTGAGAGAGGTGTGTCCGATCCGTTCGACTCATTTTGACCTCGAGATTATTCGTAGGTCTGATAAAGACAGATAACTCGAACGGACCGTCTAATTTCCGTTGGTCAGGTGTATCCTTACTCGACGAAGCTGAATCTAAGCGGTCTAGAAACGAGTTCGTCCCGCACTCTTTCCATCAGGGTTTCGTTGAAGACAAATCGATTTCACATCCCTGCCACCGATCGTTCTCATTTATATGACGTGGACGCACTCTGTATATGACTTGGATGATTCAACGTATCCAAATGTATTCGTTATCACCAGGAGTGGTTCTTCGGAGTTCGCAACACGATGACAATTGTCTAAAATCGATGAAGCGAAGCTATTTTATTCGCGCCAATAACTTCCTATTCATTTTAGAGGCCTCGTCAGAGATAATCGTGAAAACGTTAGAATGTCAAATCAATCTAAATCAAGAGGCAACATTGATATAAAACCAGATTTGATTACGTAACGTCATACGCAAAAGAAAAATGATTTTACTAAAATATCTAAAAATTTAGTTAGATATGGATATAAAAATAATTTTGTTAAATTATCAAAATAATTACATACAGAAAAATATATAGTGTATGCAGAGCTGGGCATGTATTTGAAATATTTTTATTTGAAAAATAGTATTTGTAAGGCAATTGTATTTTGTATCATGCATTTCAACGCAACACATGCAAATATTTTGTATTTTGTGTTTCGTGGCAGTATATAAAAGTATTTTGTATTTTGTATTTCAAATACTAAGATTGGCAAAATTAATGTTATTATTCGAATTACAAAGTACAAAGGACTTACAATTTTTCGATTTTAAGTACAAAATACATAATATATTTTATGTGTTCCGTTGAAATACAAAATACAAAATATATTTGTATTGCAAAAACTGTGTTTTAAATAAAAGTATTTCAAATACATGCCCAGCCCTGACTGCAAGTAATAATTACTTGTTTCAAGTACTTCAAAAGTTCATGTATCTGCAAATCTATCATAAATTTATCACAAGCATCAAATTTATTCAAAATATTCTGAAACCTAGTAAGTTTGATACTTGATTCAAGATTATTAAATTAAAACAAATTCGATTAGCTTATTATTATACAAAGTCATTTCTTCGCAATTTTATAAAATTCTTTAAAAGAAAATAAATTCTTGTTTTAAGTACATGATAACGAGTTTTATAATAAATATTACATATAAGATTATTGTCGATGTTGTTTATTAAACAAATTGAGTAATCATTTTTTAGAAAGAGAATAATATTTTTCTGTGCATGTAGGAAACTCAAACATGATGAGCAAAGCTGCAAAAAATTTTGATATTTCGGCAACTAGATTGTTCTACGTAATTAATTTAATAATTCAACATAATTATGGTGAACTATGTATCTAGCTAAATTTTTAAATACTTTAGCAAAATCATTCTTTCCGTATAAGTATACGTATATAATAGAAACTACCAGTTTTACGAACAAATGAATCGATACAATATAAAAATTTCCTAACGAATTCGAAGATTTGATCTTGTTATTATTTTATTTTCTTTAAATTAAGATCTTTCACAAAAAGATCAGTTTTGCTGAAGTCTAGCAGTTTGCTAAAAATCTAGCTAGATCTGAAAATAATTTTGATGGATTATCAAAATAACTATGTAGAAAGCTTAAACGTTGATGATAATGCTGGAAAAAAGCTTTGATATTCTAACAAGTCGTATGTAATTATTTTGATATCCCAAACACAAAATGATCTTCAGATCTATATCAGCTCACTTTTCAATACTTCAACCGTTCTTTTCGTGTTGCAGTCGATGTTGGTGATAAGATAGTTAAGCCTTTGCGCTTCACGTCGCGATAACGCTGCGGACAAAGGAAGTTTCGTAGATAAAGGCAAGAGTTCAGGCGATCGAAGTGACTCGAGCGAACTTCCTTATCCACATCGTTCATCGAAACTCTCGTGCATACAACGGTCATGTACGCGCGCAACCGTTTCACGAAGGAAAAGAAGAGCTTCCGCTTTAAACGTAGACATCTCGGCTGAGATCTTCGGTTGAAAACGCCAGCTTCTAACGAGAGGACATCGGGGAAACAATAGCAAGAAGCGGCATTTGATCCGGCGTGTGATTTCGCCGTGCGAATCGGCACGATCGTGCGCGAGGAGGCGAGACAACGCGGGGAGAGACAATGGGGAGAAAAGATGAGAGTTCTCTCCGCGATTTCTCCTTCTTCGCACCTGAACCGTGCACGCGCCGCGCGGCCACAGGTTCTCTCCGACGTTCTCCAGCCTCTCTGGTTTCCGGCGTGGGGCTACCATGCAATCGGCACGCGTGACGACGAACAATGGAAAGCAAGTCGTCGTCGGTCGAAACGAGATCGGTCGCGTGAACCGCGGCATGTTCCCTGAGTGAGCATAAAAGTTCTCACAAGAAACATACGAAGGTTTTGTTGAAAGGATAAACCTCAATGGAGAACCGTTTGAGAAGCGGAATCGTCCTGATTGTGAAAGCTATAGCGACGAATGAATAAAACATCTATTAATGAATAAACATTGGTTGATTCGTGTGCGTATAAAAAAATTACAATAAGTTGGGTGCTAAAATTCGCACGAGTTAACGGATTCCTAGAGATGAGAAGAGACGCGAATTGACTCTTTACACGGAAAGAACGGTTTTGCTGAGGTATATACAAATTTAACTAGGTCGGTACTCATATATAGTCAGATCTTATATTTAACACCGTCTTAAGTACACTGAGAAAAAATGCTGTTAATTAAATTAAAATCTATATTACGGGCTGTCACTAACATAAGTAATTAATTCATGTATATTTTTATTGACATAAAAGCCTTGATTATTGAAATAATAATTTGTGCCTTTTTGTCAATAAAAATATATATGAATTAATCATTTATGTTAGTGACAGCCAGCAATATAGACTTTAATTGAATTAACAGTATTTTTTTCTCAGTGTACAGTCTTAAGATATCATGAACCAATCAGAGGTTAATATTCATAATCAATTCTTATTTTAAGACCCTCTGATTGATTCATAACATCTTAAGACTGTACTTAGAACGGTCTTGAATATAATGGGTCTTCTACAATAATTCATTAGTCATAAATCAGAAGTCGGAAACTAAAAATTGACAAATCACAGTCGTCATTTTTTAACTTCTGACTTCTAATTTATGACTAATGGCTTATTGTAGAAGGTCTATAAGATCTGACTATGATTACCGGCCAGAGAGCCGTATTAGCATCTTAAGATGGTCTTAAAATGAGAACGGATTATGAATACCGCCCATTGATCCGAAAATAATTTTATTAAATTATCCAAATAATTATATAGGATGCTCCAACTGGTCACTCAAATAACAAAAGATTCTTATTGTTCTTATTAAATACCAAAACTTTTTGCAACATTGCTTATTATGTTTAAGTTTCCTAAATAATTATTTTGATGGTCCAACAAAATTATTTTTATCTATATCTAGCTACAAATTTTTAAATATTTCAACAAAATTGTTCTTTTCGTGCAGCATTTGCCGATTACTTTTAAATATACCTTCGCAAACGATTATATTATAAGAAACGCGGTTTGCGGGTCATCTTCGTCTTCACGGACAAGACGATTTTACTGAAATATCTAATTCAGCTAGATACAAATCTGAAAATAACTTTGTCAGATGATTAAAATAATTATTTAAGAACCTCAAGCATGATGATTTAACAAAGTTGTTTTCAGATCTGTATCCAGCTAATCTGTATCCAGCTTAGACGCTTCAGCAAAACCGTTCTCTCCGTGTTGATACATCATTAAACGCCAACGTTTCGTGAACATTACGGTTCATCAGAACGAGAAGCAACCTGATACTGATCAGTATCAGGATCAATGAACTGCAATATTCGCGAAACGTCGGCGTTTAATAATGTATCAAGACACGGAGCAAATCACGTAGCTACTTTAAAAAAAAAAGTACCTGTGTATGCCTCAAAGGTATTATCAATTAACTTAAATATGTGAAGGCTATTTTCTATAAGACTATATTTATCTACTCCAGTGCATCGACACTGGACAGGATGAAGTGCAAGTCTAGGCAACGTAATCGCTTTTAAAGCGATTTATGATGTTTCATCGTGTCATGTCCGTTCGAATATAATTAATTCGTCGCGATTCGTGCATGAGAAAGTTAATGCGAGCCGCGAAAGTGGAGATCGATATAACTTACAGGATACAACGGGATACGTTCGACAGTCGAATTATTCTTAGTTTCATCGTTAAAGGAGGCATTCGAGCATGCGAGTGATTACGCGACGCTTATCTGCAAATCATATATGAAAGCGTAGACTTCAATCGCGAATTATAAAAAAGAAGAATCGACAATAATAATTGTAATATTTGCGTCGAAACTGCACGCTCGAGCATTTAGATCGTGCGAAATGAAACTGATGTGCGGTACAATGTCGAAAGATAGCGAAAATTATCGTTATTCAACGCCTTCGTGTTGTAGTGGAACGTTGAACGCAATATTCGGTCACGCGTCGCTGGCTATCATTTTTACAGAAAGGAACTGAACAGGTTGCAAGGCGGTTTGACGACACGAACACGGATGCGCGCGAATGATCTATTCATGGATGAAGCGCAATCCCGTTGCGGGTGGAATCGCATTTGAGAAAGGGCGTTGAACCTCGACGTGGCCTTCAGCCTAGCTGTCCGCGCGATCAGCTGGTTTTTCCGCTATACGCGTACATGATGAGTATACATGATACTTGGCATAGCACATTCATACATGCATATGTACATAAGCGATCCCTCGTGGATATTGCGTAAATGCAATAACGGCGGAAGCCAGGGACACACTCGACGTCGATGGTGAACGTGGACCTTGAAGTTCAACGTCCATCGGCGGTACCGTCGATGTTATTGATTTCGTTCGGTAGAAAAAGCAGCTTTGCAACCGTTGTAAGATTCTTTGCTACGACTGAATTTTGCCCTTAATTTTTCACTGGATCTAAATGTACCTAGTCAGCCAAGTCTGCTTGAACAGGTTTTCCAAAGCATCTACTGACAAATTTTATGAGTAAGAAAGTTTCAAAAATTTATTATATAAAAGGTGTTGTCACAAAAAATATAATAAAATTTGTTTATATTATGATTTGATAGCATTCGAGGCAAAAATTGAAAGAGTTTGTACATAGTTTGACGCAGATTGGCAGCAGAAATCGAGCAGGATCTACATTCGACAAATTCTGCTCGATTTTTACCGTCAAGTTAGTGTCTGCTATCAAGTTATGTCAGATCAGCTCTAGACACGAGCTTAATGCAAACACAGATGGTACTGCTGCACTTTTCTCATCGAATCTGGTGCCAATCTGCTGGACAGTTTGCTTATTGAATATAAATCAATCATATTAAATAGAGTTGTCACAAATTCTTTATCCTAAAATTCCGTAATTTTTCCCTGACTTCTAGATAAAATTCCAGGTTTGCCCCTGCTTTCAATAATATTTTGAATCTTTTTGTATTTTTGTCCTGATTCAGAAACCGCCAAATATTTTGTTGAGAGAGCAATTTAATACAGTAATGTAAATTATACTATTAATGTTGTTGACACTGCTTGCGTTGAATCGTTAAATTAGTAGTACTCCAAAATTACGTAGGTATGATATGTGCATATTAATATCCTTTAAAGCCAAGAATTTTAATTTTGCAGAATTTCTCTGATTTCCCTGATTAAAGAATCCTATAGTTGCAAAACTGCTTTTTCTGCTGCACGCACTCTCTAAATTCTTTGGAGTTGAATTTCACTCTAAATATTTCACTTTATTATAAAGAAATATAAATTTTAAATAACTTGTATACTCTCTAAATTCTTCTGGCGTGGTATCTCATTCTAAAGAATGAAAATTAAATCAATCTTAAAGAAGAGTGGTTCAATCTTTAAAAGTGAGATTTTACTCTTCAAAATAAGATTCACTTTAAAAGTTTTAGAGAGCAGCCTTTATCGCACTTGGAGCTCTACTTGGAGGATGTTTCTTAAATCATATACAGCGCCTATTCCTGATTAAAAATTAAGTCGAAAAGTCTTCTACCATTTTGCAATTTTCGTGATAGTTAATGGTTGGGCAGCCGGATACGCGCTTATTCGGCAATATTTAGAAATTAATATTTCGTCAACTATTGCAAAAATTGCAAAATTGTAAAGGATTTTTCGACTCGATTTTTAATTAGGAATAACGTTATATGATTAGTGTCCACTATTTGAGAAATACCCTGTATAGCGACGACATCGCATAGATGTTGAGACGGTGAGAAGCTCACCTGTTTCTGGGCCTTGTCCATGATACGGTACGAGGGTGAATTGTGATGACCGGATGCTGCGACGACGGCGCCCGCCTTACGAGACACGCATTGCCCCATATAGATCCGCCAACCTTGTCCCAACACCGAATGCTGTTCACATAAGAGAGTGTGCATTAGTAAAAGTACAAGTACTTTGTAAATACGCGTTCGTGCGCTTACGCTAATTGTTAAAGCCATTTAGAGGAGAGCACGTAAAGTTGAAGAAACCAAGATATCTCCGTAAAATAGTAGACAAGAGTTTTTCCCTTAACACACGTTATTATACACCCGCATACCATCGACGACACGTACAGCGGAAAGAGTTAAACTATGCGTATAACAGTTCTCATCCTGATTGCACACCTGCCTCCCCATTCGCTTTCATTAACGTTTCAGCTCGCAGTTGATCGATGGAGAATCTTCGTTCGATAGAAGCGAAAATCATTAAGCGAAAAGAAAGTATAAATAGCGGAAGGATATATATGCAGCCAGGGTACCAAGAAGTAGACAGAGTACCACCACCTGAAGTAACATGTAAATCTGGAAAAAGTTCCGCGCTGATCGATAAAGCCTATTTCTCTGTCGAAAGGAGAAAATGCGCGATTTAACCAAAGGCATTGGTCGAGGTATGCCGAGGTACATCATCTATGATTACCTTTCGCGTTACGGCACCGGTTCTCAATCTTGCAGGTCACGAACCGAACTCGCGTCCCTATTAGATACGCCAGTGTTGCGATATACAGAATGTTCCGAAGAAGAGACATTAGCAGCGAAGCGCGAAGGAAAAATATTCTAAGAAATATGTATAAAACGCCGCTTTTTCTCGGAACTCGGATTCTTTTGCGGTAATAAAGGATCTTGTATAAAAATAGTTAAAAAGAAAGTCATGTAGAAATATATAAATTACTTTAATGGAAGAGAAACGTTTAATAAAATAATCCTTCTAATGGCATCATTTGACTATCGATAAATTCACGGCAAGATAAATCTATGTTACAAGGGCAGTGATTGTGCTAAACCGGAAAATAGGACACGGATTTTAAAGACCCGAGTCTCTCTCGAGCGTCGCTCTCGTCGAAAATTCGGCACAGATCGAACGTAGATGGGTATTGACCCACAAGCGAATACGATAGCAATGACTCTCTAAACATTTAATCCCTCGCAAGATGACTATCATAATACCGTTACGTAAATATATAATATGTGTGTGTGTGTGTGTGCATATTTTTTAAATTTTATATTATATTTATTTATATTTTAAGTTTTTTTCATGTTATTTATTCATATATTTTATACATTTATATTATTTCATACATTTCTATCGTATTTATTCATATATCTCTATTTTATATATAAAAAAATTATTTTCAGATTTGTATCTAGTTAAATTTTTAGGTATTTTTCAGCAAAATCATTCTTTCCGTGTATCACCGTGTTGATAAAAATAAAGTGACACGTCTCAAAATTAAGTAACTTTTCAGTAAAGAATTTTTTTCTTTCTAAATTGGAACGACATTTTAATCAAGATAATGATTGTATATAACTTCCTTTCTAATGTTATACTAATTTGCTTTCTGCGTTATACTTTCAATTATAATATATTCTTTAAAACTGTGTCATGAGTTTTCGAAATTCAAACATTGCAATCCTAATATAAGATTGTGAAAATTTCATTCCTTATTAAAGTTGCGACACTTTTCTATATAAGTATAATGTATCCACAAATATGTCGTCTTGCCACAAAAATATGTCAGTTTTTAAGGGTTGATTTCCTTTCATTGTCTAAAAAATGCTAATTTTTTACTTCTGTTATTTATTACTTTTCTATCAACGCGACGATATATTTAAAATAATTAATTTTTACTGCAAAAACGTTCAGAGCGACTATTTGTACCTGGATTCCTTCGCATGAGGATGATTGTTTGAAATAACAAGACTACCAACTTCGAAAGACATACCATAGGGAGCGTCCGAGGATTTTTATTTGAAATGCATCGCATAGATGGTGAAAGGTGACCAGTATGCTACGATCTCCAAATGTGGGACAATAAATGGCACTGGCCCGATTTGTCGTAGAGAGCATTGCGGATTACATTAGCTCGTGTTCCGCGTTCTATAACGTCTCGCGGAATCGTTGAATAAAGAGGAATAATTCTGAAATTCAAAGATTTTCCGGGATCCGAAGCGAAGGAGTAAAGAACTCATTGTCAGAGATACGGAGACGTCAACACCTAAGATAATGTAAAATGGCTGTTTTCCTTTTGGGAGATACAGTCGATATAGGAATGTGTCATTCTATCCTTGTTATTCATTGACTAAAGAAAGATAGACGTGTCTCTTAAAAGAAAAACAGTCTATACATAACGACGTCAAAACCCAAGATGTAAGATACAGAATAATGATACATCGCTTTCTTACTTCAAAAATGACACGACTAAAAAAATTAAGTTTCTCAGAAAAGGAAAAAACTATTTTTTAACTTGAGACAGAAAATTATTGATTTATTAAATAATATCAGCAAAAAGAATATATTCTTAACGTGATCAAACGTTATTTTTATAATTTTTGTTCCACAATTCTTCAAAATCACTTTTTTTAAATTGTAACAATTTTGATTTCACTTTTTTTTTTAAATCGCATTCTTTTTGAAATATGACGATTTTTTATAAAGTTAAATAAGTTACCTTTCAATGTAATAATTTAAGTATCTAATAATTTAATATTCTATCTTTTCTCTCTCATATTCGACCTTAAAATATTTCGTTTATGGTATGGTAATGGACACCTCTCCTCCCCTGACAAATTTCTGGATTCGTCAATGCATTCGGTAAAATATCGTAAAATTTTCGGCAACAAAGAAAAACTATTTTTCAACTTGATAGAAAATTATTGATTTATTAAATAATATCAGCGAAAAGAATATATTCTTAACGTAATGAAACGTTATTTTTATCATTTTTACTCTAAATTTCTTACAGTGAAATCTCACTCCAAGAAAATGAAAATATAATCACCCTTAAAAAAAAGTGAAAATATTTTACTTCTTAAAAAAGAGTGACAATTTTCACTCTTTTTAAAGTGAATTTTTACTTCAAAGGAGTGAAATCTCATTATTTTTAAATGAGATTTTACTCTAAAAAAAGTGAAGATCGTAATTTTTTTTCAAAAAGTGAAATATTTTCACTTTTTTTCAAGGGTGGTTGCATTTTCACTCTCTTGGAGTGAGATTTTACTGCAAGAAATTTAGAGTGTTCGTTTCACAATTCTTCAAAATCACTTTTTTTGAGTTGTAACAATTTTGACTTTTTTTTTCAAATCATTCTTTTTGAAATATGATTTTTTTATGAAGTTAAGTTACCTTTTTTTCAATGTAATAATTTAATTAATAATTTAATATTCTACCATTTTATTTGATCTTAAAAAAATTTCGTTTACGGTATGCTAATGGACCCCTCTCCACCTCTGACAAATTCCTGGATCCGTCAATGCATTCGGCAAAATATCGTAAAATTTTCGGCAGCAACCTGATGATTTCGGATGAACGTTTTCGGTTACCCGTACGAAGCAACGGATAAGCAATCGCGGCTGGTGCCTCTCGCGCCGTAAATACATGGAATCTGACCTTTCTTGCGCCGCGTTCGGTTCTCGCGCGAAATCTCGGCTTACCGTTAGCGTGGAACGTTAGCAAGCACCGGAGATGCCTTCGCAAGTGCAGGTAATTCCCTTAATCGACGCGACGATTTCATTATATTAGTCCCTCCTGGGAGGCAAACACGATCAGCGCTCGTCGCAAAAAAGATCACGAGGGACTTCCACAATACACAAACGGGACGATAACCCCGTTGACTCCGGTCGTTTGTTTCGCATTACTTGCCAATTCTTTAGCTTACAACAGTCTTCTAGAAAAACGGCGAACAAATCGCCGTCTGTATATTGAACTCTAGATCTCTGGGATCTCCAGAGACGTGAATCTCTCCTCGAGAATCCTTCCTCGATTTCCCCGACTCGTGGCTTCTCGCTTTCGTGAATTCTTCTCTTTGGATCTTCGTATCTTAACTTGTTCCGTCGTGAATGAAATAATACTTCCCACGGAGATCGAGAGTAAAAGGAGCAGAAAAGGATAGATTACAAAAAAAGATAGATAGATAGATAGATATAGAGAGAGAGAGAGAGAGAGAGAGAGAGAGAGAGAGAGAGAGAGAGAGAGAGCAAGACGTGGTTAATAGTGCGAGGAAATACCGTGCATGCACCTCTTCCCTTCCCCTGAATTAAAAGCGTATGCGAATTCCTAGATGATGTCACCGCGTCTCCGCGATTCCTTACTCACAGAAACGAAAATCCCTTAGGCGGTTTTATGCCTGGCCTGCCGTAGAGTAATCTCGAATACACTGGAAAAAAATAAAGTCGTCCAGCTTCATGGGAGGATCGAAAAGCTTCACCGCCTTCTCGTTTTCGGACGCGCGTTCTTCCGAAGTGAATCTTATCCAATCTTATCGTCGGATAAAGGATGGCTTCCGATAAAAGGTATCACAAAAATAAAGATTACAGAAACAAAAAACGTAAGTGCGTATACTCCGAAACGTAATCTATGACCTGGCAATTTATTCCGCGGATGACAAGACGGACAATTGTCATCAGTGAACACGCGTCTTATATCTCACCATCAATTACTATCTTTCGAAACATCACCCGTCAAAAGTGCTTCGCAGCTCGGTGACGTAACGAGCCGTTGAACATATGTGTATACACACATTCTGTTTATTTATATGACACGGATTTAATTTGCACAGCCAGTAGTTTCGAAAGTTCAGACCCGCGTTCAGAACCGCGAGCTCCAGAACTTTATATAGCACAGAAGCTTACAGCAATATTGCTGCAACATTTCTAATGTTACTGCAGTATTAGCTTGTAATTATATTGCTGCAACGTTGCAATGTTGGTGCAATATTTCTGGAACGCTGCAATGTTGATGCAATACTGCTGAAACGCTGCAATGTTGTCACAATATTATTGAAATGATCTGTGCTAGGACTGCACTGTACCCATATAGGTACAGATCATTCCGGTAATATTGCAGCAACATTGCAAATGTTACAAAGCAGATCATTCCAGTAATATTGCGACACTGTGAATAGAAGCTTGCAGCAATATTGTAAATGTTGCTGCAAGCTTCTTGTACAGGTACAGCAAAAGTCATTTCAATAACATTACAGCAACATTGCAATGTTGCAGCAATATTACTGCAAGCTTCTGTGTTGTAATATTGCAGTAATATTGTAACGTTGCAGCAATATTATTGTGAGCTACTGTGTTATACATCATTCCAGCAATATTGCAGTAACACTGCATCTTTGTAACAATATTGTTGCAAGCTTCTGTGCTGAAAGCATATCACAGATCATTCTAGTAATATTACAGCACATTGCAACGTTTCAACAATATCACATTAACATTAACACTGTACAGCATAAATCATTCCAACAATATTGCAATGTGCCAGCAATATTGCAGTAACACTGCAACTTTGTAACAATTTTGCTGCAAGCTTCTGTACTGTATGAATACAACACAAATAATTCCAGCAATATTACAGCAACATCGCAACGTTCCAACAATATTACATTAACATTAACACTGTACAGTATAAATCATTCCAACAATATTGCAATGCTCCAGCAATATTGCAGTAACACTGCAACTTTGTAACCATTTTGCTGCAAGCTTCCGTGCTGTATGAATACAACACAAATCATTCTAGCAATATTACAGCAACATTCCAGTAACATTAATATTACAATATTGCAACAATATTGCTGCAAGCTTCTGTGCTATATAGAGCCCGTGTCACACTAATATACGCATGGAAGATTAACGATGAATTGAAGATTAGAATTCTACCAGTAAGACAATTATAATTCATTTTGTTCTAATTAGTTGAATTCTAACATCTCTAATTCACACTTCTCAATCTTTATATAATGCATACGTGTGACGTGTGACATGACGAGCTTTCCGCGGCGATACTCGATCCGGATTGTTTTCGTGGGTAAGGTTAAGGGACACCGCGATCGACCCGTGTCACGGTGTCCTCGTGTCAGAGGGACACACTACGTAAAAGTCAACACTGACAATTCTTACCTCTTCTGCAGCTGAATCTCCCGGGTGAGTCGCGCGGATACGTGGTACACATCGTAGGAACTGAACACGGGGGAAGGGTGGAGCACCTACGAGCAGCGACGCACGGGTGATCGTGCGTGCATGTCACCGCGATTTGCACAATTTGGAAGGATGACGACGGGTGTCCCAGGTGCCGTTTTTGGAGTAACACGCAACTCGCGTCCTCGCGACGTGTGCGACGTGACAGGACCGTAGAGTATCCTCTTCTCTCGTTGATGATTTCCCTTCAAAGGACAGGTACAGCGGTGCGCCACGCTTTTCGGCAGTAATGTCAAACGTCCACGACAGTGCACGACGGACCGTGTTATTCACGCCAACGATCACGTACCAAGTGTGTGCACCGCACGGGATTGAGAGCCGAGCTGAGCCGAGCCTGCCCTGCCGAGCCTGAGCCGCACCACCTGTCACTCGGATTCGATAGCACGGAACATGCGTCGTGCGACGTCACCTGGCGCCCTGCACCCCGCACGTCGTCACCGCGGCCAATCAGTGTTCGACCTGGAGAAAGAGGAGGTAGGAGCACAAAGTGTAAAGAGTGCAAAGATATTACGACTATTACAACTCCAGCTTAACCTTACTTTGCGTCTCGTGAACCTTGTGAGGATTACGTAAAATCGTTTGTATTATCATGAGTAACATGGATAACGCGATCGTCCAAAATTTGGATGAGGAAGATGAGTCCAAGGCGGTGATGCTGTTCGGCCGAGACATCAGGAAGATCCCCTGTTTCAAGCGGAGTATGCTGTCCGGCATCTACAGCGGTCTCGCAGCCGGCCTGGGCACCTTCATGTTCACCAGTCGCGCGAATCTATCGGTGAACGTCGCCCTGGGATCCTACATGGGAGTCACCACGGTTTACTGGTGCTACTGCCGATACAACTACACGATGGAAAAGTACGAAATGCAGAACCTGAAAAGTATCATTCGGCATAAGTCGATCAACGCTTCAGAGAAGGACAAGGAAAGTGTTTAGGAACATCAGAGAAAACTGGTTGACACATGAAAACTGTTCGTCTGTTGTTGAAGACTTTTAAAATCATATACGAGAACAAGAGATGCGTTATCATGCGATTGTAGCACAGTGCGATATGTAATATAACTAAGATTATTGTATTATATTTATAAAATGTGTGCAAAGAACGCTTGATGAATGTCTGAGTTATTTTTAATCTTTTCATCTGTATATAATATTTTTATATATTAATACCGTATCTATGAGATTGTTAATTGATTGTAATTATATTTTTTAATGTATAAAAGTGTAGTCATTTTTTAAAATATCGATAGATACACTGGAAAGAAAGTTTAGTCACGTTAATTGGAATTCTGGTTGAAAATAGACATCAGAATTTTCTGATTGAATCTATCATAATTCTAGTTGAGATAATCAAAATTCTGAAGTGATTAGAATTTTCTAGCTCGTTTTCATGTCAATCAAAAAATTTTTTTTTAGTATATGAATTCGTAGAGTTCAACGTTATATACTTGGAGGCTTATTTTGTAACTCTTATTGACTGTAACTGTAGCGTTACGGTGTCATATGTCGGTTGCTCAGTTTTGTACATGGTAAAAAAATTGCACAACTACTACACACTGTAACGCTACAGTTACAATCGTTAAGAGTTACAGAATAATCGCTCGGTTGTAATTGTGTGATAATTTAGCCACTGTGTGACCACATAATTGCATTGTACTGTTTCAATTAATTGATAGCGTAAAAAATAATTGTTTTTTAATAATAATTGACACAATGTTAATACACGCGCGCGCGCGAAATCGTATAGTAAAATTATATAATGAATTTCTGTATAATAAAATTATTTTTCAAACGTATATGTTTAATTTTTCTCCACAAGTATGATTGTTCGAAGCTATTAATGTCTTAAAGCTATTTCTTGCATTTCTATTTGATTTTATGTATAATACTATTATATATGTATAATGTTATTTTTCATGAATTATATTTATTATATATATGTATATAATGCTATATTTTTCATGAATTATAAAAATCTTCATATTTGTGGATTCTTACTCTTTAAATCTTTTAGAGTTAATAAAAGCAGAATGAGAGAAATCTTATTTTTCAAAATTGATTTTCAATTTTTATTCTTTAGAATGAGATTCCACTTCAAAGAGTTTAGAGAGCAAAGCTTACATTCCGATAAATAATTTTCTATAGTATGCTTTATATAATACACTTTATATAATATAATTCCAATTTCTATATACTCTATGTTTATATTGTAAAATGTAAATAATCTATAAGGTGACCTCTGAGAATCTTGCGAGTACGAGTGAAACAATACCTACAGTCACAGTGTTTTCAGAGGCGCAACATAGCGCGCATCGTGTAAATAAAATGCGTGCGAATTTAATAAAATTAACATTTTAATTCAACTAAAAATTTGTACATAATAAGAGACAATAACGAACAGATTGAGATAATTGCTATAATGTCACAGAATGATACGAGTGACGATGAATCTGACCCGCCACAGATGTGTAGCCACCTCAACACGAATTCTTACGCCCGTAACAATACAGGTATATTTAAGAATTAAATCTGTTTATATCAATCCCAGGACTAGACGTTGTATTTTTATACACGCGGATCATATAATGAATCTCTCAATGGGAAATTTCTTATACACAACTCTGGTAATGTACTGCAAATGTAGGTGACTTGGGACAGCATGTATTTTGTTAAATTCAGTCGTGATATCCATAAGTCATTAAAGAAAATTTCACAGTAAGAAATTTAAACTTTCTTTAGAAACTCATGAATGGATACTACGATTGAATTTAACAAAAACACATGCTGTTCCAAATTATCTGCACGGTCCCAAGTCATATTTATTTTCTAGATAAATGCCAGGCACCATAAAACAATTATAAGATAATTCAATAAAATTTTAATTTTTTCATTAATTTTATAATTTTTCAATAAAATTCCACTTGTTAAATTACAAAGCACACACAATTAAAACTTTAAAAAACGCTAACAGCTTGAAATGTTCGGGTCTCTTAGAAAACCATGTCTACAGTTCTGAAATCAATTGCAATTTGGACATAATTCTATAACAAATTCCCAAAGTTATGTGTAGCCCGATCAGTCCCTCCTCCTCCGTTTCGAGCTCTGTGATATTCGGACAAATCCCCGAGGAGGTGCTCCGCGCCTGGAGTCAACTACCGGAGGCAATTCGCCTGGATCCGAGTTTAGCGATCTTTCAGAAGGAATGTGATCGAATAACGGAAACGAGGTGAGCGAAATAAGCCTAAGAAATTGGTGAAAAAGGATTTCTACATAACGAAAGATAACGCATTTCCAGATCTCTGGATTGCGTGAAGAAAGAATGCCTGGTTGTGAATATGTCTCTTGGGATGCCACCCTCGACATCAATCAGGTAAATCACATCTACATATCACAATTAAGGGGGAACTTTAACAAGATCCTACGAATTTTTCTCAGAACGAGCGCATGTAATAATTAATCCTGGTATCTTCGCAGTATACAACATCAGAACGTCGACGAAGACGGGCAGGATGTGCAAATACAGGAAAATAATACAGGACAGAGGCCTTTTTGCCGTTACATGAAGTTAATCATACTCTCCTGCTGTTGGCTTCTATTCACAGTAAGAAAACCATCGGACCAATGCGATCAATTAATAAATCTCACGTTGCTTCATATTGCAGATGATACTGATGTTCAAGAACGAGAGGATTGAGACGATGCATCAGCTTTCTGTGTCTAGAGAAAGTAAGAGTATCCTTCTAGTCAATCATGAAAAATCCAACTGCGAATTTTCGTCTATTTTCAGCAAAATGGGATTTAGGAGACGAAATTTCCATAAATAAGTATAATATCAATCAATCAGAATACTCTCCTTAACGATATATAGATTATCGAATCAACGAACATGTTACAAGTACCTTGATTAGCGTGGTGATAAAAGGACCATTGCTGCCATTACAAAAACACGAGCAGTATTTATCTGCGAATTTATCCACATGCTATTTGACGGTATGGCTGCAGGTTCTGGTGGATGGAAAAGCCAATTCACGTCTCTCCATTACTGATTTGAAGAATTTGAAGGTCTCTATATCTTTAAACGCGTACAAAATTATTCTGCACTTACGTTTGCATCGAAAGAACACGAAGTCAAATCCAGCCAAGCCTGAAACAGAGAAAGAAGAAAAGGAATCAGTCATATTAACAAACTGCATATCACAAATATCCTTCGGCCATTCTTTTACACATTTCATAAAACTAATTAATCTTGATTATGTTGAATGTATATCGCGCATATTTATTTAAATAGCTAAATCTACTAAAATGCCTAGTCAGCAGATTAAAAGTAACGTAACATCAATGTTATAATTTCGTACTCAAAAATATAAATGTAATATCACACATGGTGTTACATAACAGTTACATTATGCAAAATTATAATACTAATGAATATTTGTTTCTCTTCAGTTTAGACAGAATAATTAAAAAAGGGATTTATTATAGTTCATAAATATTTCTTATTTCATTCATCCGTCCATTGCTCCGTCACACGTCTTATATTCAATAAATTCTAATGCCTGTCTTTACTTTCTATCATGCACTTTCTTGTCATTCATTATCTATATCATCACAGCCATAATTAAATAGTAAACCTAACGTACGTTTCCTTTCATCACAGCCATATAATTATAACACTAATGTTATGTTTCTTTTAGTTGATGTCGACTGGGTATTTATTTACTGGATAATTATAAACTAACTACACCATACTATATTTGCAATTATTAATTGCAGAACGTAAGCGACGTGTGGACCTTGCCGGTACTACCTGAAAATTTGGCGAGCATTTTCCCCGACCAGAAGCATCGGAAGACTTTCCGTATAAAAGCTGACAGCGAGTACGTTATCTCATATTTTTACTATTATTCAAATCTAATGAAAATAAATTTTGCAAAATGTTTTTATTACAAATTTTCTTGGCAAAACTCCAGCGGAAATATCTGAAAGTCTCACATGCAGTGATATTTCAGAATTTATTAGCAAATGTTTTGTTTATAGAACCCTATCGCAAGGCATGATGTTCATCAATCTGCGCACGAATTCGAAGTCCATTCTTTCGCTTTCGATAGGCTACGATTCATCGCCAATAAATTCCGATATTGGTATACCGCTTGCCGCTGTTGTCTTGATTGCCTTATACGTCCTGATAATTTTCGAGGTATATTAGGTGTTGAACTTAATTCCTGCCGCTCGCTTAATTTAAAACAATGTTCCACACCTTTAAAAAATCTAAAAAAAATTTTTTGTAATGTAATATGCTAAAAAGTTTGACACATTTTTAGCATATTACATTAAAAAAATTTTTTTTTAGATTTTTTAAAGGTGTGGAACACTGTTTTAAATTAAGCGAGCGGCAGGAATTAAGTTCAACACCTAATACGTAAATTAGAATGTATTTGTTATAAATATGAAAAAGATCACA